TAAAAATCCTGTTATTAAAGGAGAGGCTTCTGAAATTGCTGACATTGTGATGCTAAGTAGGAAAGGGTTTACAGAATGTTCCAGTTATTCATCCAGCTATTCTTCCCTGTGTTTCTTTCTGGGTAAGACGGTAATGTGTGTGCAGGTGTTTCATGTGTTTCCCTCCCCCCCCAGAATATTTTCAGGAAAACATAAAAAGAAGGACAATCTAGCATTAATGCTTGCAGCTAGGCTGGTGTCATTGACATGCCAGAAAATTTGCACCCTGGTGCTATTGTGTGCAGACAGGGTTGTCCTGGAGGACGTGTGGACATGTCCTGGACTCATGGTTCCTAGGAATCAGCAGTAGTAGAAAGTAAGGAGACTATGGAAAGACCAACCTATAGTAGCAAAGATAGACAAACATATTAAGTAATGTGGTAAAAGATACGTTAAATGAAACATTAAAGCATTATTCATGGAGCACAGACAAGACTAATGTATATTAATTCACAAGGAACTCAAATTCCAAAAGGCCACTTTTTGAAAGTCCATTTGAGGTTAGCTAGAATAAGCAATTAATTTAGTACCCAGCTACCTAGAATGTTTATGATATTCTTCTTGAAACAAAAGGAAATTGAAATTAGAAATATGACTACTTGGAAAATTATAACAAGAAGGGGAGGTAGAAATGACAGGTAAGAGGTTAGAAATTTTAAACAAATCCCGTATTGAATCTATGATAAAATATTTAAAATCTTGAGGAAATGGTTGCTTTTTCTAGAAAAATACACTATTGAGAAGGAAGAGTGAATCTGAGTTTCTGATTGGCAATCAGGTGGACGAAGTTGCTGTTTACCCAGAAGCTCATGAACTTGGAGATCTGGGGTGGGAGGGATATAGGGAACATCGAGTGGAAATATGCAGCCAGCAGCTGGACATACCAAGCTGAATCCCTGGCAAGCTATCTGAACTAGAGATAAAGGCTTATAATGGTCGGCATGGGAGTTCCAGGAGCAAGGATGAAACTGCCCAGCGGATGTGTAGCAAGGCAGAAGCTTACCTTGACAGCAACCTGGAGGAACATTGACAGTTACACAACAGGCAGAGAAACACCAGTCCTCAAAGTAGGCCGCAGGCTGTCATGCCAGAGAGATAGATGGAGAACAGAGTGAGTTCAGGAAAGCCAGTGGGTGGGAATATTTCTAAAAAGAGCAGATGTGAAGGGTGTCTGACACTAACTTGAAATTAAGATAGGATGGAGAACTTCCTCCTGGTTTGGTGAAAATGTTATTGGTGACCTCAACAAAAGCAATTTTACCAGGATTCTTTCACACTTTTAGTCAAGAGATAGTAACTATGCTGAAAAAATTTTATAGAGTCTTAGCTAAAATATAGAAGATGTTTTTATTTATTTTTCAAAGCTGGCATAAAATATAACCCAATCATAAATTGAGAAGAAGAGCATACACGATCCCAGCTATTTACAGGCTCACTGTGTACTGGGTACAATTCTTATTAACAACTGATTTAATCCTCATACTTGCAGTCAGAATAAAATATCAACAAATCAAATGTATAAATATACTTAGAAAATTATATTAACATCCATGAGTTAATGTTTGATTGTGAAATATTGGAAAATATATTAGAAAACACAATATAAACTGGTCAAAAGGGAAAATTCCTAAGATAATAATTTTCTAAAATTCTAGCCAGCACTAATAAAACCCTCAAAGAAGCATGATAACTAATGTCTATCTCAGATAACTAACACCACACTTGTGGTGAAATGTTGGTGTCATTCCCATTCAAAAGAAAACAAGTAAAAGTTATTCATCATCCTCATTGTGGAGGTATTGTTTGGGAAGTTTTAACCCACACAAGCATGAGAGGAAGAGAACTAAATAGGATTAATATATCTATCAAAAGAAGAACAGTCATTATTTGGAGATGATATGAATGGAAACACTTAAGAGAAAGAACAGAAAAAAATATAGTGACATATGTCAGGGATTTGGTTAACATCTTTCATATGTCAAGCTCTGTGCTAAAGGCATTACACAGAGTTCCAGTTAACTTTGACAGCCAACCATGAGACAGATTTTAAATAGAAGCTTCCAGAAATGAGTGGTGAGCTGGAATTCAGACTCCAAGACCTCCTTGATTCTGAGGATGATTCTCTTAATGACCTTACCAAATATTGCCCCAACTACCCTCACACATACCATCACTGTGGACATGTGAAAACCAGAAGTCTTCCTAGACACTGGTAAAATGTCACAATTATGATGAAATAATAATCATACAATAAAGACAGGAAAAAGTAAGATACATACCAAAAGTGAAAATGAAAAACAAAAATCTTCTCACCTATTTGATGGATGTTACACACTTTTTGAAGGGGCCTATGGAAGAAGATGGAGTATTGATGTTGTAAAGGTAACTATATTCTCTTTAGTTACAGCTTTCATGCAACTGAAATAGTTTTTGAAACTTCCCTAATGGTCATATGAAATAATAAATAGGTAACAACAGTTGAGAAAATGTGTTTTTAAAGATTGTATACTTGTGGAAGGACACATATGTTATCAGAGATTGTATGGGTCACAACCACAGCTGTGTGATTTTCACACGGAGTAGAAACACAGACCAATGCAACAGAGTAGGATGTCTGGAAAACACTCAATAAATCGTATGAAGTTATGGCAAATGTAAATACTTATGCTATGTGAAAAAAATCTAGATAAGTTAAATAATTTAAGGGTTCCTGTATATGTATATATGTTGTATGAATATAGTCATGAATAACTTAACATTGCAGTCACATTCTGAAAAAATGCATTGTTAGGTGATTTCAGCATTGTGTGAACATCATAGAGTAAGCTCACACAAGCAGTGTGCAGTGTGCTCTACCATCTAGGCTGTGTGGGCTTATTGAAAGGTTACGCAGTGAATTACTGTGTGCATTCATTCATTGTGGGCGTGTATACTTAACAGATCTTGGAATTAGGCTGGCCCTTCTATATGTAATACTTAAAGACAAATTGAGATGTGATGATGCAACTTGTTAACATAAAAAATATTTTGCAAGTAAAAGGAAAGACTAATCTCCAGTAGAAAAGAGTGCAGGAAGTATTAAGCAGTTTGCACACACACACGAAGAAATTAAAATATCCACTAATATAAGAAAGTACTTTCAACCTCTCTGGTGAGTAAAGACTATAAGTTGAAATGAGTACATACATTGCTGGGAGTGTAAATGTCTGTGTTCTTCTGAGGAGCGATTTAACAGTATGTGTGAAAGGCCTTAAATATAAATCATACTTTTTGGTCTAGTAATTCTAATTCTTGGCATTTTCCAATTGAAATAATTAAAGTTATGCACAAAGGATAATTATTACTCTGATTTTTATAATAGTGAGAAATTAGGATCCCATTAAGTGCTCAATGTTAGGAAGTCATTTAAATAAATTATAGAACATGTCATGGAAACTATGCAGAATTTTAAATAATGCTATAAAAGAATATTTAATAACCTGGGGAGAATTTATGATATACAGTATTGTTGAGTAGATAAAAAGTAGGTTATATAACAGTGTGCATAGTAAGTCTCTGAATAACTTTGAGTTATTCAGGGTTTAAATCTAGAAGAGTATAAACTAAGATGTTAATTGTTGTCATCTCTGAAGTGGTGGCTTTTTGGGTGATTTTATTTTTACTTATTAAAATTATTATTAAAAACTTCATTTTTATTATTTAAAATTGTTTATAACTTCTTGAAAGAAAAGGTGTTCAGATAGACTAATAGCCACAGATATTTCTAAAACCTATCTGCAAAAAGGAATGTTTAAAAGCACACGCTCTTGTGTTTATTGTTGCCTAACAGGAGGGAACACTATTATTTTAATCTTGGTATCTTTTTCTTTACTTTGATCAAGCATTAGTTTCAAAACCATAAAATTTAAACAGTAAGCTAAAAATAAAGGAAGGGAGGAAGGAAGAAAAAGAACAAAGGAACCAATTCTGAACAGTAGAAATGTTGGTGTGAATGCTTCACTCTTTTCCTCACTGATCTTATAATTATACCTACACTAAGTACCAATGATGTGTCAAGTGCTGTCATCAACAATGAGAATCCAGAGGTGGGACAAAATGAATTCTGCTGTGACGGACACTTTAGTGTAGTGAGTTGAGCCTGATGTTTTAAAAAATGTATGGAGCAGGCTGGGGATGCAGCTCAGCAGTAGAACACTTGCCTGGCCTGGGCAAGACCCTGGCTTTCATCCCCCATACCACTCACATACTCAGAAATGTATCGTCTAACAGATGACTGGATGTGAAAAAGAACTGGGTGATTGTAGTAGTTTGCGAAGTACTTCTGTGGTGTATATCTTGACTGGGGATGTAGCTCAGTGGCAGAGTGCTCACCTAACACGCACAAGGCCCTGGGTTCAATCCCTAGCATTGTGGCAGGGAGGGCTGTATGCATAGCTACGTATAATTGCAAGTTGTGAAAGTGTAGTTTGCATGAGAGCAGGATTTTATGAAAATAAGATCACAGATTGTTTATGTATGAATGTAAATAATTAAGAGAATGGTTAAGAAAAATGATATTTAGAAGAAAAAAATCAATGAAAAGTCATACTTGGGAAAGAGAAATGGGGAAAGATAGTTTATTATCTTCCTGAGAAACTGTGATATGGCTGATTATATAATATTTTGATTATTTAGGAGTGAGCAGAGAATCGTAAGGGTGTGTACTTAAGGCAGTAATGATAATTGTAATGATTCTGAAACTTTGAAATGTCATTCTAATGGGAAAACGTAAAGTTACTAACTATAAATTCCAAAATTATACATGAATTTATCAGTGTCAATGGCAAAACTCTTTGACTGCATCCACTACGTATCAGTTCTTAGAAAACGAAGGATCTTTCTATTACCTGTGAGGGACATAGTACGAAGTCTGCTCTATGGCCTGGTGTGTACTCAAAGAGAGGGTTTTCTCTATCTTTCAGCGTTAAATGAACCCACCATAGACTATGGCTTCCAGAGACTTCAGAAAGTCATCCCAAGACATCCTGGAGACCCTGAGAGATTAGCTAAGGTAAAATGATTTGGAAATTGATATGTGAAAACCTTGCTCTAGAATTTTAGCAAATTTAGACAAATCCAGCCATTTAAGTCCCATTAAGGTTAATTAGACCTTGAAATTGGCTAAGCTTTAGGTACAAGATGAACATAAAATTTCTACTATGAAATATATTGTGTTTAATCTCTCAGGAAACATGAAATCTGAAAATTTGGGGCCTATAAAACAGATACGCTACAAGAATATTCAGCTTATAAAACATCGCCAACTTTATGAAAATAAACATTTGCATAATTGCTTAAAAGTGTAAGCTTTCACTCTTTTGTATTTAAATATGATTTCATTTAGCCATAATTGCAGAGACATATCAATCCACAATCAAGTGTTCATTGATAGCCTACTATGTATATATGAACTTAATGACAATAAAGATGTCTCCATAGGAAACTTCTGTGAAATGTATCACTTTTAAATGAACTTACTTATGAAAACTTAATTATGAATCTGGCCCATGATGTTAGATTTCTTTATTTAAAAAATACGTCAATTTATTAGCTGTCATTCAAGTAATGAGAAACTATGAAATTTTTACATTTATATTTGATTTGCACTTTAATAACAAATTATAAAATGCCTTGTTCTCTATTCAGTGCTATGGATAAAATTCAAGTACCAGTTACTTCTACATCACACCTTTATTTTCCTCCTGGACAGATCCCAGCCCCACCATTAAATTAGATGGTATCTGGAAAGTAGGTTAATAGCGATTTAAAAGGCTGTAAAACCAGGAGGTAGGAAAGACGAAATGAGAGAAGAGGGATTTGTGATTACTAATTCTCTCTGGTTAAAGTGAACAGAGGGAAATATTGAAAGAATTCATCTTTATTAGAATAAAATTTGCAGAACTCATTGCCAATATAATTTCAGTACTCTGGACAACTCCTTGGCAAGCAGCAAAACTCAGGTCCATCAATCATTTTAAGAATATTTGGTTAATTAGAGTACCAGATTTTTTTTAATGCATTGTTCTGGAGGTAGTTTTCAATAGAATTTCCATGACATTGTTAAATTCAATGAACTCCACATTCCATTTGCTTGGTTGTGTTTTTGTTTGGGTGGCACAAACCATTATGGAGCCATTTTATACCAGTGAATTTCGTGGAAATACATATGTATAGAAGTCCTTATATGTATCATTATAGTCTACCCTTTAAGCCAAGTATTGGACCTTTTGGTTAATTAGCTCCATTTTGGGGGGTGGACTTTTGATTTTTATCTGTAGGTTTCTTTTGTTTGTCATTTTGGGGTTTATCTTTGATTGTAGCCTACCCCTTCTTTCTTTTCCAGGAAATGCTGTTGAAAAGAGCTGCTGACCTGGTGGAGGCTCTCTATGGCACACCCCACAATAACCAGGTTTGATGCTTACATCTTACCCTCTACTGAGTTTGACTCTTTATGCTTGGTAAAATGCTCACCCCAACCTGTCGTTTCATAGGACATCATTTTGAAGCGAGCTGCAGACATTGCTGAAGCCCTATACAGTGTCCCCAGGAATCCCAGCCAGATTCCAGCTCTCTCCAGCTCCCCAGCTCATGGCGGCATGATGGGTATCAATTCTTACGGCAGCCAGCTTGGGGTCAGCATCTCAGAGTCAACACAAGGAAATAATCAAGGTACTGCCTTTCTCAAAGAAGTCTTCTTCATTTAAATGCTTTGTTCTCCTGGAGTAGGAGTTCAAGGCTGCAATTAATTATCCAATAGAGGAACCATCCAGCAGAGTGTGTCCCCAGAGGAGCAACATCATCACAGACTGGGTAATTTCAATATTCCAGAGAGTATATTATTAGATTCTGAGATTTTTTGGTAGTATTCCTAGTGTTTGCATGCAGGGCTTTGCTCTTGCTAGGCAGGTGCTTTACCTTTTGAGCTATGCCCCTCGCCCTTTTTGCTCTGGCTATTTTGGAGATAGGGTGTCACTTTATGGCACAGCCTGGCTTGAACCATGATTCTCCTTTTTTTTTTTTTTATTGTTTAGGGAATAATACAAAAAAAACCCTGTATATGTTCAGTACAGAAACCAAGTTATTTTCTGAATTTTTTTTATTATTCATATGTGCATACAAGGCTTGAGTCATTTCTCCCCCCTGCCCCCACTCCCTCCCTTACCACCCACTCTGCCCCCTTCCTCTCCCCCCACCCCCTCAATACCCAGCAGAAACTATTTTGCCCTTGCTGTGTGAGTGCCTGAAAGAAGGAGGAGGCATATAAGAGACACGGCCTATGTCAGATGATAAGGAGAGAGGAAGGCGTAAAAAGCTGAGGACTTCATTATTAGGCACAAAAATACAGTTAGATCAGAAGGTGTAAGTTCTAGTGTTCCGCAGCACAGTTGGGTGCCTACAGTTACTAATTTATTGTGTTTTTCCAAATAGCTAGCAGAGAAGGTTTTGAATGTTTCAACACAATGATATGATAAATGTTACAGGTGATAGAAATGTCATCTATCCTGGTTTGATCATTGCACATTGTATATGTGTCGAAGTGTCACACTGTATTTATGGATGTGTATGACTACTACCTGTCAATTTTTTTAAAAGGCTGGAAACAAACTGCCACTTCCCACTGATGCCCAGGATTGGTGGCTTGATGGTCTGGGACCAGTAGGGGCCTGTGCTGGCCACATTTGGCCCAACTGTGGGTAGTGGTTGATTAATCTTGGCTTTTCCTTTGTTGTCAAGGATACATTCGCAACACAAGCAGCATTTCCCCACGGGGGTACTCCTCCAGCTCCACTCCGCAGCAGTCTAACTACAGCACTTCCAGCAACAGCATGAACGGCTACAGCAATGTCCCCATGGCCAACCTGGGCGTGCCAGGATCACCGGGATTTCTGAACGGCTCACCCACGGGCTCCCCATATGGAAGTAAGGGCCTGCACCACTTTTTCAGTGCTCCAGGCCTCTCTGTCTTTGAGTTTCATGGTTCAGCCTTTCAGGGAAAAACTGCATTCCTAAATCTTAACTAACATGGGGATAGCCCAACTGCCTGATGGAGTGTCTTTCCTGCCTGTTGTTCTTTTGTCTTAGCTGGATTTTGACTCACTGGGTTACTCAGGGCCTTGTGGGGAAGGAAAGGCAATGAAATGGGTCCCTTGTTATAAAGAAAGTGTGGGACTTGTGTCTATAGCAGAGAGGAATCAGATTCCCTTCCAGTTAAAAACATGTGCCTTCATTAGACACTTTCATTGCAGCGTTTCCCTATCATCTTCATAGAACTTTCCAAGGTTAATTTTATGTCCATGTCATAGGCAGAGAAGTTTGGAACATAGCTGTGGCCTGGCTTACCCACCACCACACAGCTGGAATACAGCAGAGCAATCAGAGTTGATGGCTTCAGGTTATTTTGTCATATCATGTCCTTTTAGTACTTTGTGACATGGCTGCCTCCTCCTTTAAGTCTCTCCAGAGAGGTGGAAGCTGACTGTGTGTACCAGTGTGACATATGGAGACAGAGACTCTCAATCTTAATCTCCTGTCCAACAGCAAGGTCAATGCCCTGGAAAGTTGTGAAATGTCATTTGCGTTCTTTAGGAGTTAAGCCAGGGACCTTACACAATGGTCCCAGGAGCCTGAGAAAGTGTGTATTTTTCAAACCTACTTAGGGCAAGGGGACATGCTGACATGAGAGCCTGAGAGATTGAGTGAAGTGTTCTTGAAATACTGGGGGTTGTCGCAAGGCTCTGTAGCCTGTTCTCTTTTCACCCAGAGTGGTTCCCTTGTGCCAAGAACAAGGACGCCATGCAGCTATGTCTGCCATGGCTCAGGAAGCAACAGGCCTCAGAGGCTGCCTCTCATAGCCTTTGGACCTTCGGTTCCCAGAGGACACACACTCGCGGGTTATTTTTGGGCTATCTGCTCAAGTCCTACAGTCAACACTCTACACCATGTGATGGGGACATGGCACCAAATAGCTGAGGGTAGTAGAGGTCGTTTCTTTTAGTACAACTAAAGTTTTGTCACTGCAGAGACATGTGTGTTAGGTCTTGTCAGGGAGCCCAAATTAGTTAGATCAGAGTGGTCTATGGAAATAAGTTACTGCTGATTGATTTAGCTTTCACTTAACTCTTAACTCATGCCAAGAATGTTTGGGGAAATCATAATTGTCAAATAGTATGAATGTATAAAATCGGAACTAATGGACAATTGAGATGAAAGAAAAAATGTGTTTGGGAAAATTAGATAAATCCAAGGGCAAGCATGGATGCTGGTTTGTCTGTTCAAGGGAGTCATTAATTTGGTCTCGAGTTTACAAAATGCTAATGCAAAGAGATGAACATCTGCATATTACTTTTTAAAGGATTTCAGGAGAAATATGGGCATTTCTGCTGAGACCGTAGGGAAGGTTGTCCCACACTTCCTTGTGGACAAGGTAGCCTGCGTGGGAAGGGGTCACCTCTTTAACAATCCCCTTAAGTAATGTGCTGACTAGAGAGTCACTGCATAAATAAAGTCACATAATCCCGACAGCAGCAAGAGTAATTAACAATAGCATTCCACTTTATAGCCCAAAAAGCAAGTTCACATTTAGAGCCCAGTCAGATCCTCACAACCACCTAGTGACACAGATATAATCATCATTATCCCTGTCACTTCCCCATGGAAGAAATGAGGAGCAATTAAATGACTACTCAAAGATTCATAGTCAATAAATAGTAAAAATGGGACTAGAACACTTGTCACCAGACTTAGAATAACGTGTTTAAAACATTCAATCATGAAATATTTAGCATCTTTATACTACATTAGGCTGAGCCATTTAAAATTCCCTCCATCTGACCATTTCTGGTCTACAGAAATGGTAGTTTCATGTGGTTCAATCACACATTCATGTATACTGAGGTTCATCTACATGAAATAGTTGTTTTCATAAATAAAAATGGCTAGTCTAATTATACAGTGTATAGTGTGGAATTGGGGAGGTAGGGAAAGAAACAAGAAGAGGTGGAATGAAAACAGAGAGAGGCAGACAGACAGAGGGAATAGATGAATGAAATGCCCAATCAGATGGTAATTGCTTAATGTTCCTTACTAGATAATTCATCTGGTAAAGAGGAATTCTTCCCACACCAACAAGTGACTCCACAGTCACTCAAAAATGCACTGCCATGAGAAAAATAGCAGGCATCCCAATCTTTAAGTCATCATTTAAAATAGGACAGTATATACAGAAGAGGAAAAGGAAGAAGAGAGGAAGGGTCTCTGCCCAAGGGGGGGTTGGGAAAGACCACAGAGACTGCCTCCTGGATCACCCTGGATGTACCTGGGTTCTTGTTTGTACCTTCACTTTCAAAGGGAGGGTCTGAGGAGGTACAGACCAGGCACAGGATTTCAAACAGTGCCCTCATTATCATCAAATTCCCCTCCTACAAAAGTACCCAATACTCAGTGGTGTTCATTATAATAGCACCTGACCTGTATTTCTAACCAGAGAAGTCTTCTTTTCTCTGGGAAAGAACAAAAAGCCCAGAGGAAAACATTTCATCAATTCAGTTGCTTGTATCTGAAAACACAATATTAGGATTTTCCATTTTATTTTTAAATGAGTCTGAGGTGGCTGGACTGTGCCATGGAGCCATCATTTGGCAGAGGCATTAAAAAAGAAATAGAGCCAAATCTCTTGGTCAGGTTTGACATTCATTACAACCAGTGCAGTGTATCAAAACCCTGCATCTTTCCTGCTTTTGCTCTCACACTACTTCAAAAACGACCAAACAGATGCTTTTTCAATCTCACATACAAACTTCACTTCCTGGCAGTAGCGGTGTGTGCCGAGTTCCAGCTCAGTGCAAGTTTTTATGGCTGAATTCTAAACCCCTGACAATAGGGAACTATAATGAAATGCTGACCCCCTTAGCGCCGGCAACGGCAATGGCTCGATGCAAAGGAGGCCATGTGCCCAGTGAGTTCCAGCTGCGACCATGCAAGCAATCAATCCCTGGAAGAAGAAAAGTGCCTTTTCCTTAACTCCCCATGTTCGCATAGATTTCTGGGCCAGACATGTTTGCCTTGACTTTGGCCTCTGTCCACGGAGATAGATGTCCAGAGAAATTCTCAATTGCAAGTATGTGTGATCGACTTTCCTAAAATGGCACACTCTGCTGTCCTCAAACACAGTCTACTCAACAAGCCTGCAACACCCAGGGAGGCCAATTCTTTCAAAGCACAACGGCCACCAAGCCAACTGAAAGTGTGAGACAGAATCACACCGGCAGGAATCCAACCTGGCCTGAGAGTCCTGACTTCACCTTCAGATCCTTAAACCCTGGCCTTACAATTCAGTATTTTTGTATTTTCAGAAATAAATATTAAGACATTTCTATTGTAAAATATTAAATGATTATTATCACTTAAAAGAACATATGGAAATAGTATTAAAAAAAAAACGCAACCCCCACCCTAAGGAATAAACCTCTTTAAACATTTCTTTAGTAGAGAAGAATTCTATAATAATAGTAATATTCTGATCATAGATTATTTTGAGAGGAATGTGTGGATAAAAGAAAGAACAGAAAAATGCCACTCTGTTCCTGAGCAGAAATAACCCCCGTTAACTTTAAAAGTACAGCCTTCAGCCGCGAATAGAAATGTTTTGAAAACTGCAGTGTTTGCTCTACTGCACAGCTGATGAGAGTCGGGCACAAGATCAGTGAAAGGAGAGTGGAAAGAAGGGGGACAAGTGACCAAAGTCACACATAGGAATTGAGGCTGCGTGAAATCCTTCAGAGATGGGGACCTCGCTCCCAAGAATGGACAACAGATATTGGGAGGAATGTTCGGTTTAAAAAAATTAATTGCCACCATCCCAGTTTTCCCAGGAATTAGGGGACTTAGTATCCCTGTTTTGGTTTTTTGTATCAGAGGAGTTAACATACAATTTTGTTTATAGGCCGTAAAACCTGTAAAAAAAGAAGCATCGACACTATTCAGGAAAGCTTATGCCCATTGCTAAGAATCGTATTATTTCTTAGCAACAAAATAGACATTTTTCTGTTTTTAAATTTTCACAGACTTTGCTGCTTTCTCCGACATCAAGAACAATACGTGTTCATTGTAGAAAAAGTTGAGAATATGGACAAGTAAAAGGAATAAATTTAAGAATGTTTTTGATCTCATCAGCCAGAGATAACCATTCTTAAAAGCTCAGCTGCACATTACACGAGTTTAGACTTTTGCTGTATGTATTTCTTCTTTAAATAAAAATGCATTCAGTGTCAACCTTCTTAGGTAACCTGCATTTTTCTTCTGAGGAAGGATATATTTGTTGTTAAATATTCCTCTCCAATGTTAGTTTTAATGTTTAGCATTCTATCACAAGGACTTAATATAGTTTACCCCGCTCTCACTATTTCCCCAGTTTTCATTATTATAAAAATGCCTTTGGATCTATTTTTTGGCACATTTATGATTATCTCCTTGGGATTAATTTCTAGAGATTAAATTGGGGGCCACAGGATATGCATATCTGTATTGCCCACGTCCCTCCAGAGGTACTGATTCTTTCCCCAGAAAAGAGGGAGTACGTGTTTCTCTGCCCTCTTAATTTTTTCTTAATCTTCATCAATTTAATAAGTGGAAAATAACATCTTGTTACTGTTTAATTATCATTTTATTACTAGTCAGTGTGAATGCTTCTGTATGGGTCTCTTGGTCACTTTCATTTCTTTTTTTGTGTCCTTTGCCCATCTTTCTATTGGGATATGTTTCTTTTTCTAATTCACTTATAAAAACATATGAGTGGCTGAAGACATGAGTGTATCTAAAAAGTATTGCAAATAATTTTTTTAACTTGTCATTTGCCTTTTGTGCAAGTGTGTGACTGTTACGGAAGTTTTTCATTATGCGGAAAATCTGTCTTCAAACTTCGATTTCAGCTTTGAAGTTGGAAGAATTATCGTATTACCTTCCTATTTTTTTTACTAGTTCCTTTATAATTTTGTTTTTGTAAATAACTTTTTAATCTACTTAGATTTATTTTGGTGGGCTGGCAGCATGGCTCAAGTGGTAGGGCACCTACCTAGCAAGCACAATGCCCTGAGTTCAAATCCCAGTAGCACCACTAAAAAAAAAAAAAAAAAGAAGAAGAAGAAAGAAAAGCAAAGAAACAAAAAATCAGAAAGGGATCTACTTCAGTGTTGAACATGAAGAAATGCCCTTAAATTTAGTCCCCAGTGAGTAGTGTCGTGTTTCCATGGATTTATTTTCCAACTATCTAACATGAAATGTCACCTTTATTAAATGGCAATTCTCATACATACCCAGGTCCATTTCTGGACTCAAGTTTCACCCCTAAAGATTTGTCTGCCTATTTCTTTAACGTAACACTGATTTTTAAAAATTTCATTGATTTAACTGATAAAGATTTATCATAACTTTTAATAGATAAGATCAGTGCTCCCCATACTAGCTAAAAAAAAAAAGAAAACTTAGCAAAACTCTCTATGACAGAAATGCTTATTACTGAGACATAAATGCAGAAGCTGTGTCTTCTGAAATATGCAGCTGAAAATTCCTTCAGGACTTTTGTTATAGCTGTAACCAATTATACATTAATTTGGATATCATTTGGCACTTTTTACAGAATTTTTGTAAAAAGTATTTATAATAGCTGGCACTTACTCAACTTTGCAGCAGTTCTCTGATGTAACTCAGAAAGCCTGAATTTCAAACGCATTCACATGACATTCTTGACTCTGTCCTTCCTCCTGATTTATTTTCTTTTTATTTATATTATTTGAGGGAAGGCAGAAATGTGCCCAGACATTTCCTTCTACATGGTTTTTCAAACCAAGACCACCTAAGAATAAGGGCTTCTTAGAAAAAGCTCTTTTAAAAATATGTCTTTGGTTTATAGTTGTTCTGTAAAAGGTGCCATACTTAGTTGCATACAACTAAGAGGACACGGATCAAAATTCAATTTTACAGAGAAAGATGGCAAAATGGGAGATGCCAAAACTTGACATTCAATTCACCTTGTACTTAGTTTCTTTAAAAAATTTTTTATTACACTATTATTGTTGTACTGGGGGTACACTGTGACATTTACAAAAGTGCTTACAAGTTATCATAGTTGAATTCACCCCTCCTCACCCCTTCTCAGAATAGTTTCAACAGGTCTCATTGTTCCATTTTCATACATGAGTATATAATATTTTTTTAAACTCTCATTTATCCCTTTTTGAGCAAATAAAGTGATCTTCTGGCATGACGCAACTTGGTGGAGTGTCTGACATTAAGAGGTGTGGCACTTTGTTATGTTGCCTTTATTTTTCTTGGAAATTACAGCACTTAAACTTTTTTGGCTTCCCTTAAGTCATTTTAATGTTAATATTGTTAATACTGGAGTTTTTTTTTTTTTTCTAAATATGATGTCTGGGGAGGCTGACTTTCAGCTTTATTTCCCAGGAGTACGGAAAGTCCAGGGAGAGGGAGGCATCTTCTAAATATTAATAAACTCTCACATTTAATGAGCAAGGGGCCCATCAAGATGGTACTCTCAGAAAAGATGCTAACCCTGTACATCAACCCTCCGGGGTCCTGGGAGTTGCCAGGGAGGCACAAAGATCCCAGAGAGGACTTCTTTGATGATTTTTCAAGCACATTGGTCTTAGTGCTCTCTTGTCAAGCCCTACTCGTGGACGGAAGATCTGTCCTGACATCTCTGGCCAGTGCACTCCTTCCCTGGCCTCCTGGCAGAACAGCACTGTGCTCCTGCATCTGCTTACACTGCCCACGTTTCCTAACAGGCTCGTTGCCATGGTAGCTGTGACATGTGTCTATTCCTCCACTGGGTGGAGAGAATGTTGTCACATTCAACTTTCTTTTTAATCCCTGGAATCTGGACCAATTCCTGGAAATTAACAATTTTCAGTGTGAGAAAGTGTGTACTGAGGAAAGGTCTTAGTTTCTAGGTGATTCTTCTTTCTAAAGAGGATTGTGCCTTTGCTTTCTAGTAATGTCATCGAGTCCCACCGTTGGCTCTTCCAGCACCTCCTCCATCCTCCCATTTTCCTCTTCAGTTTTTCCTGCTGTCAAACAGAAGAGTGCCTTTGCCCCTGTCATCAGGCCCCAAGGCTCCCCTTCGCCTGCCTGCTCCAGTGGCAATGGAAATGGATTCAGAGGTAAGTGAAGGCACTGCTTTAGGAATAGGTGTGACACAGGAGACACGGGTGTGGCAGGGACTTCAAAGTAAGAGCAAGCAGTGCACCGTTCCACAGCTCTCATCATTTGCTGAGGTGCTTTCATGGTGGGGCACACATGGCTTGTGCTGCTGGGCTTAGTCCTCCATCTAAGGCAGAGGGGTGGAAATAACAACTAGCACACTGCAGGTCCTAGAATTACCTGTGTGTGTGGATGCTCACAGATGCAAGCCAGTCTCTGGACTCCCAGCGCTGTGCTCCCACTGGGCCATTCCACTATTTCTGGAAGGTGCCTGGTCACCGATCAGATGCCATGTGGCAATTTCTTCTTACCTAACTGTCTGGTCCCCTGTGCTGCATGTACATTTCCACGGCACATATAGAGGGTCTATGAGAAGCAACCAGCAAGTTGGTTACATGCTAGCCAAATTGATAGCAGGTGCCTGATCAGGGCCGGGGGTAGGGAAGGAAGAGAAAAAGACATACTGTTTCAAAGAACACAAATTAATATCACCCGTCAAAGGCACTTTTGAGCAACGTCTGAAAATGGACTCTGACATGACGTAGCACAAAAGTGATGCGTACATGAGAATCTAATCATCCCACCGAGAACGGGAGGCAGCCGATGGCCAAAGCGCAAATTGGAAACTGCTGAGCGCAGTGGCCCACTGGCGACCCGTGTTAGTTTTAAGCTGTTTCTCACATCTTGACACGAAAACATTCACGCCAGGCAGTGCTGGATAAAACCAAAGAGAGCGAGGTATGGTTAACCCCTTGTGGATCAGAGCCCCTGAGGTCAGCAGGCCTTGCTGGGGAACCGCGTGGATTATGCAGTACAGCCTCTGGCGACTTGATAAGAGTATGTGTGCTTCCAAACCCTAGGGGACACCTGTGAGGGGTCCTTCTCCACTCGTGGCCAGAGAAGAGCCCTGAGGGGTAGGCTAGGTTCCTGTCCATTCTTCCCCTTGAGACTAGGACATCTCCTTAAGCTCAAGTGACTTGACAGAGAAACTGTCAAAACCATTACTGAAAACCCAGCACTCAGAGGAGCCACTGAGAATTCTTTCAGGTCCAAGCAGACGAAGCAGCTGGGACTCCATGTCATTCCCAACGTGTGGGTAGCTGGAAACATCTGTATATTTGATGAAACTTTTCTTTTTTTGTCTTTGGTTTTCATCCAGATGTGTAAGCCATAGAGAAACAGTGCAGCCTGTAGCCAAGTGTCTCCACCTGCCCTGTCTTTCATCAAACACCACTGGTTTCCATCCGTCACTAGGGAATGTTCCAGAACTTACTCCATAAGGACTGGGAAAGGAAAACTAGTGCTGAATGCTTTCTGTGCCTCCCTCTTCCCCACACCTGCTCGGTGGTGATGTTTCCTCTCTCTGAGTTCTCAGGCTTTATTCATAGACTTTGACTGAGTGGGGAATGCACAGTGAGGGAAAGAGAGAGATGGAGGGTGAGCACGGCTCTCCTCCACATCGGTAGAGGAGGAGAACAAGAAGAATGTGCCCTTCCTTTTTCCCGTTACTCAGCAAATATGTCTGGTTTTACGTGAAGGAAAATCAGTGGTATTTGACCTTCATTGCCAGCGTCCCCCAACCCCTACCCAATGCATGCCCTGAATTTGAGGTTGCAGACCTGGTTGTCTTAGATCTTCTGTATCCGGTGTGTTTTGCCCATGGAGACTCGCAGTGGGGCCTGGCTGGCCCTGGGGCTAAGGGAGGCTGGGACAGTTTTTCCTGGTGCCGTGTCCTGTCGTCCCTACCCTATTTCCTGTATGTGCAAGTCAGGTTAGTGGCTGGTCACAAGGCTAGAAGGGAGTGTTAACTGGTCTTACTAAGGCTCCCTCTTCATTGTGGGGGAAGCCACAGTGAGATATCAGAAGACCCTCAGCCATGCATAGTCCAGTCACTGCCCGCCAGGATGCTTGGGCTTGGACAGTGGCTGAGCTGTGTGTACTGGATTGTGTCTGTTGAGGTGATGACTTGGCCAGCAACACATAGACACAGGTTTCAGGCTCGTCTTCATGTCTACAACAAGGTCCCAAACCTCCTTCAAATCCTGGTGATTTGAACCTTAAAGAAAAAGGGAAGGGAAGAGAAGGCAAGGGAGAAGGAAAGGAGCACCTGTCTATTTAGGTTAGAGCCCTAAAAATTTTTAAAAAGCTATGAAAATATGAAGTGGTGTGTGGAAAAAGAAAGGTGAGTTCAGACAAGAACCTTAAAGTGTGTCAGTGATGGGAAGACTTGACTTCAAGATGGCTGTCCCCAGGCCACATGAATCAGAGCCTCAGTTTCCCAGCCTGTCACATAAGATGATAGATAACTATGGATTGATCTGTGTGCCTGAAGCAGTAGGAGAACACTGCATATACCTCAGCAGAACTTGTTTCCTGCTTTGCCTCCATTTAGGACCAGGTGAAGGTGCTTCAATGTCCATGAGGTGCCAGGAGAGCACACCAAACACTATCCCCAGATACTGAACGAAAACATCCTGGAGTTGCACAGGTGGACATGCCAGGAGCTCCATCTTTTCAGACACAGACGGAGGGCAGTAGGAATGTGGGCCCAGGGACATGGTGGATGTCAGGGCTCTTCTCTACACTGCTACTACTATGAGGTGTTTCTGTCTTAATCATTGACTGAGAGCATGCAGCCAGCACTCCCTAAGCCTTGCACTGTGTGCAAGGTGCTGAACCAAGTGACTTGGCACAAGTTCCCTCCTCAAGCCATGCCATCGTCATTTGCAGCAAAGTAGCTTGTCCAAGGCCACACAGCAAGTGGCTGATGACTTGAACCCAGGCCTGTGGACCCCAAACCTGTGCTCTGAAAGCCCCCTGTGTCTCCAGGGATGATAGTAATGAAACCCCTCTCTTTACCCTTAACCCTTCACTCATATCTGTCTGTCACTTGGACCAAAGGAAGAGTATTGCTTTCTGGTAAAATGCCCAAGGTGAAAAGGAGATGGACAGCTCAAGTGCAGTTACTCCTCTCTGTGCTGCCTCCAATGAAAATGCTCCCTTTTTGTCCAGTCTCTATCTGCTTTCTGTCTGTGGGCTCTGCTTTCTATAAGCAAAAAGTCAAGGTCACTGTCTAGTGGAGGTCCAGCCCACCCAGTACTGGATGTGGGACTGGCAAGAAGAGCCTAGGTCAAATCTGTTGTTTTCTGTCATTTGATGGACCAGGATATCTGAGTAGCTCTGCCCTTCCATATGTTTCTTTGGTGACTGTCTGAGACCCAGAAAAAGGAAGGGACTGAGGACTGTGGCTGGGGAATGAGGAATGTAATAGATGAGCCAAGTTGAGAACAGGAGTCAGAATTCTCTCCCCTCTGAGAGCTGTACCTGCAGCACTTCTTGTCCCACCTCTGCCTCATTTATCAGGCATGTACAGTTGAGTATAGATTGTCAAGATAATATTATACACTGTGTCTGATTCATTTTCCAGCTCCCTCCAGGAAAAAAAACAAAACAAAACTCCTACACTCTGGGATAATTACTAGAGTTGCTATATCTCCAAATCACCAGGGAGTGTCCAGAATTGAACCGCCTTTATTGAAAAGTTACATCGATTCAATATATAGTAATACAGGCAAAAATAATTAAGGCTTTGCTAGCTGTGTAAGACCTTAATCCAGAGCTCACAAACATTCAATAAAGGCTGAATGGGCAGGGAAATAGATGGCTGACAATTTTGCCCGAGAGGACTAGCCAGAGTGGAGCAAAGGGGCAAAGAGAGAGACAGAGAGAGACAGAGAGAAAGAGAGAGAGAGAAAGGGGAGAGGGAGGGAGAGAGAGAGGGAAGGAAAGAGGGAGATAGAGAGAGAAGAAGAAGGGGGAAGAGAGAGAGGTGGGAGTGTTGAGAGAAATGGAAAGAATTTGGGCCATTTGCTTGTCAGTGCCAGTCAGCAAAATGCTTGCATAGTAGATAAGAGGAAGCAGATAATCAAATCCCAGATATGGCTAGAAGTTTGGATGCAAGGAAACTATTTTGCCATTTCCAGAATGTGAGCACCCTCTGGGCTCTTCATAACACAGCCAATGACAGAGGGATAGAATACATTTTGCTGTGTGATCCTTCCACATCTTGCTCATGCTGCTTTACTTCCCACATGGAGGGAAAATCTTGGGCTTGAATCTACCCAGACACATATCCACCACATCATCTTGACCAGAAGGAGGGGGCACTGGACTCTGTACAGCCTTGACTTAGGGCGTGATGAGTGAGGATTGGGGTGACTCGCAAACTAGGAACTAAGTTAAGTCTTCATTTCCATTAGTTCAGAGTTTATAAGTGAATCATCTCTCAGCAGTGAGCACCAAAGAAAAATGAGCTTTTAAAAACATAAAGTGCTAATCTCATTTAGGCTAGTGTGGCTCTAAAGACACTTAGGGTGGATAGAAAGCCTGCTTTCAAGTCAAGAGGTTTAACAGTTGAAGTTTCCCTTCATGTTCTACCTGAGTGATCTGGGATGGTACAGTCTGGAAGTTATTTTAGTCTACTAATGAAAAATCAGTGCACAAATACATTGCAATTTAGTTAACATGTTTATCTCTACTATCTCATTCCTACAACCCATTGATACAAAGTTAACCAAAGCCTCACTCTTGGCCTCCAAGGAAAACATCAACAAGCTTGGCTTGTGTGTCAGTGATTCTTAAGGGTTCAGTGGCTTCTGCCTGTTAGCCCAGACCTGGAGAAAATTGCTTTGCATGTCAACCACGGGCACCCTGGATTGTATCCATCTCTGTCATTCTCACCTTTGCCCCCCTTTCTGTGTTATAAATTGCACCATAAAAAGTCGCCAAGCCTCATCGCTGTGTCACTTTTTCCTTGCAGCCATGACGGGACTTGTCGTACCCCCGATGTAGAATGGAGGAAGAACTGCTTTCTCATGCACAAAACTACTTATTCTGATGGACCAATAATGAGGAAAGCACTCTGCTCTCTTTGGGGAGAATTGCTCCCCCAAGTGGACATGATGGACAGTTTTGGGAAGGCAAAGAGCCGCCATCTTATTTGGTCTCACCTGTCACCTGTAGCTTTGAGAGTAGCTACACAGACTGACCCTCTTGGGGACAAGGACAAAAGATGTCATTGACATGGTCATTGCTAAGAGCAGAAATGCAATTCTTTGTTATGAACATCACAAAAACCACCTTCCTATGTTTGTAAAATATTTAAGAAAAAATTGGCAAACAATTCATGCTTAATATTTTGGATACTATTTGTTTTTCTTTGTAGGAAAAAAAAGTTGAAAGTTTCTATTTTCTATGAAGCCTTTCAGATACCAATTTAGTTTATGCAGAAAAAAAAATTGAACAAAACAGGGTACCAGCATGGAAGACTTTCTTAAAATGAAACCTGAATTGAATGATGAAATGTTGTATGTGTGTTTACTTATAGTTTAATCTCTTAAAAAAAACAAACAAAAAGGGAAAAAATTTAAAATGTTTTACAATTATTTAAATAAATAAATGTGTAACTTATTGTAAGTAGAGGTAGCAATTTAGACCTTTTTTTGGAAGAGAGAGAAATTTCTCTTCCTGATGTAAAATGAAAATGATGCAGACATGTAGTAACAAGTTTTAAAGGTGTGTGATTATTACTACGGTTGCTTATTAGACTCTTAACTCCCATCCTGCATCCCCCTCTTTTTCCATCATTTTATTGACCCACAAGCAAGAACATGTAACTTATGTAGATTCTTACAGAACAACCCACTGCAAAACCAGAACCAATGCACATACACCAATACTCCAACCCATCACTTCATTCCCAGCTCCGTCTGCTTTCAAAATAGTCCACAGATCCCTCTTGGTGTTTACTTTTGGTGAGTAGTTTTTTAAACTCATATTGGCTTTCAGCCTTCTTCCCCAAGAAATGTAGAAAATTCCCGTGTTTTAGAGTGTCTCAAGCTTTGAGTATCCTAAGGAAAGAAGTGTGTCATCTTCAAGAACAGCCAAAGCCACATGACTTTGCTAATCAAGGGTCCCTTTGGAATTCTTCTTTGCCAGGGCCACACACTCCCTCCTCTTTGGTTGCCTGGCCTCCGCAGAAGCAGAAAGCCCCATGGAAGTTCAGAAACAGAGGTTGGGGAAGATGACTGTTTCTTGGACTCTTAAGATCAGTCTTAGAATGTCCAAGTCCTTTCCTTGCTCTGCAGATTACTCCTGTTGCATTACTAAACTCTCTTGGAAAGAAATCTGCATCCCACTTGACACTGTTTCCAGGCAAGTGTCAGATGGGGTATGGAAAAGGAATGTTAAAATCCCTAAACCCCTCCCCTGATGTTGAAAGACACAGAAACCAGGGTTCTTGGGAGATTCAGAGATTAAGAGTGGCTATGTTCTAAGCAGTTCAGCTACTCAGTCCTTGAAGGGCTCCCCACAGGCTCCCCATAGTTCTTAGGCGAAACACTTTAAGGTAGCTGCTGATGGTATTGACTCTTGAGAGCCTCCGTGGCCTGGAGGTATCCCCAAACTTACTTGCGTGGCCAGTGGGACGTCTTGCCTTCCCAGGTCAGCACTCTCCTGATGACTCACTGGCACCACAGTGGAGTCTGTACCCAGACTTAGCTTGAGTGGGGTTCTTGATTGGGATTCTGGCATTAGAAGTGGATACAGTCGCCATGGAAACACATGTTTAGTGTATCTAAGCCAAGTTCAGATGACTTGTTTGCTCTGCTTAGTACCTGCCCACATCTACCTAACCCCCACTCCCCTCTTTGCCTTGAGCTCGCTCCAGACTTGCCCACTTTGACCCATGTGTTTTGTATACATGAGGACCCACAGCTTTGGAAAAGTGGCATGCTTATAACTACTGCTGACAGTCCCTCATAGGCAGGACTCCAGCGCCAACATACACAGAAACAGGAGGAGGCTCCCTAGTGAACAACCCAGTGGAAGGGGAAGAAAGTGTAGAGTACGAACGCCATCATCCTGAAGCAAAGGCAGAAAACAATCAAGCATGTTTAGATCTGGATTTGGGCCAATCCAACATAAGGAAATGTTTTTTAAGTAGCATTGCTTTTAGAACCTGTGAATTTTGCTCTTGCATGAAGAAGAGTGCAGTACAGTCTTCCAAATGATTGTAGAATTTGTGGGTAGCTTTACACAGAAAAAAATGTGTGTAACTAAATACCAGACACCCTTGACCACTCAGCTAGAACCTTGGCAGCAACAGATCTATTTAATTGTACAAATGTGTGTATGGATTACTTTTAGTGTTACTAATAAATTAAAAAACAAAGCTACTCTGTCCTCTTTAGTCATTGCTATCAAATCATTCTGGTCCCAGGTTATTTTGTGCCACTTGGAATATGAGTATTTCTATAGGTAACTCCAAAATTCTATCTTTGTAAGAGGAGCTGTGTAAGATTTTTCAGTTAAAGGGACAATTTACTTCACTATTTATCTCATTTTTTTTGTCACAGCATCAAAATTCTTCCCAGTTTTTCTTTGCACATTTCAATATGCATGGTTTCAAAAACATCATCTTCTCTTCCTTTTGTACAGTAAGGTCTCATTTCCAACTGTATAGTTTCATTTTATTATTTTGCTTTGTCAGTTATATACAGTAGAAAGTTGCTATGCACAGAGCTTTTTGTAAAGACAGCTTTTTTTGTTTACTGTTTTTAATGGTCTTACTTATGAAAGAATATCTTGTTTGTAAAATGAATATGTCTACTTCAGTTTTAAACTTTAAATTATCCTAACAAAAAAAATAAAATTTTTGTACTGTAAAAATGAACTTTTTGTTCCCTTGTTTTTTAAGCAGAAGAAACGTGAGATTTGTTTTCGACTTTGGGGGTTTCCTTGTAACTGTTGGTCTCTGAGTGAATTTTCTATGGTTGAGGAAGACTTACTACATGGAATGTTTCAAGGTACTTATTACCTGGGAGAGAGAGTGTGTATAATGTTAGGTCAATTTTCTGTGTATTTATCTATATATCCTTCTGTTCAAATTCCTCCCTCCCCCCTCCCCAACTCAGAGGATCCTATTTGCTCTGATAGTAGCTGCATGAAATTCTTTTCGTTGTCTTTTTGTTTGGCTTGGTTTTGGCAGTACTGGGGATCGAACTCAAGGTCTCCTGTTGGCAAGCCTGTCTACCATTTGAACCATACCCCCAGTCCTTTCACTTTTAGTTTGCTTTTCAAATAGGGTCTCACTCTTTTGCTTGGTCTGGCCTCAGACTGCCATCTTCCTACCTCTCTCTGCCTCCTGAGTAACTGGGTTACAGACATGCACTGCCACTCCTGGCTTATTGTTGAGACAGAGGTCTCGCTAACTTTTGTCTGGGGTTAGCCTTGAACTGTGATCCTCCTGTCTCCACTTCCTGAGTAACTGGGATTATAGTTGTGTACCACTGTGCCCCATCTAGATGCATGGAATTCTTGAGGCAGCTGAGAAGTCTGCTGCAATATGAAACTGTTGGTCCATGAGTCACTGGGTGAAGGAAGACTTTGCCAAGGCTGGGACACAAAGCCTTGATGCCTATTGCTAAATCATAGGAAAGGAGCAAGACACAAACTCCTGGAGGAAACCATACACAAAGGATCACTCGTACATAAATGCATGGAGCCCCAGAGAGTAAGAGTGGGCAGAGAAGTTTCCAGGGGAGGCTGCACTGGACCGGGCCTTCAAAGGACACCAGGTAACTTGAAACTGAGGTTGGTAGTGAGCCCTTCAGTTAGGAAGACAATGTGAACGAAGCTACCTAAGGAGAAATTCACAAGACACAGGGGCATTACTTTCAACCAGATTCCTCCCAAGTATAAATGGGTTAATCCATTTCCCTCTGTGAGGGCACGGGTCCCCTCAAGCACAGATGTTGTTCCCTTGGGTGAGTAGATGAGGTGTGTCTAAATGGTAAACTGAGAAACCCATTGGGTTTTTTGCTTTGCTGAGGAAACTGGCTCTTCTGCCCCTGATCTTTGCATGGTTAGTGTCTGTTTGTCCTTCAGTCATTGGTGTTAAGTACCATCTTCTCCAGGAGACCTCAACTCCCAAGATGAAGGTGTCCTGCTTATCTTCTGCAACTGAGCTCTCTCAGTCCTTGTCATTGTCATACCTTGTGTTGTTTGTTTTGCTGTTGGTTGACTGACTCCACTTCAGAGTGAAGGATTCTAAGTGTGGACCATCTTGGTCTCAACACTGAATACGGAGCGCTGGGCTCTGATCCTGAGTCACACAAAGTCTTATCAAAGCAGAGAATGAGAGGCTCCATTCTGACCCCAGAGGCGTGGGAGGAAATGGCCTCACGTTGAGGAGTCTTAGGGCTATCTGGTCAGTGTGCTCATCAAAAGCGTGTGCAGTGAGTCTAGAATGTAACCTGGCTGGTTGGCCACTGATCAAACGTAGGGAACAAATGTGAGGGGAGTGAGGAAGAAGTGGCCTCTGATGGAAGACTACTGGCCTTAAGAACTCATCCCATGTGGAATTGCTCAGATGCAATTCTAGAACCAGAATCTGGGCCTTTTTTGAGGGGGGCACATTCTATTCTTTTCCACATAAGATATTTAGCTTGTTAACCACACTCTTAAATCTCAAAGAGCTTATGGTACATGTACCAAACTGCCAAAGGTGTAGACTGGCTGTAAGGCACTAAACATGAGTGTGAAGATATTTGGAACTTTAAGATCTAGATAGGGCTGGGTGTGGTGGTACACACCTGCAATTTCAGCTGCTCAGGAGGCAGAGATTAGGAGGATAGCAGTTGGAGATCAGTGGGCAAAAAGTTGTCACAACCCCATCTTAACCAACAAGCCTGGTGTGGTTCATACCTGTAATTCCAGCTATGCGGGAGGCATAGGTAGGAAGATTGCAGTTTGGGGCCTGCCCTGGGAAAAAATGTGAGGCCCTCTCCAAAAACTAACACAAAAAGAGTTAGGGGGAGGCTGGGGGTGTGGCTCAGTTGTAGATCACATGCCTAGCAAGGACCTCGTTAATCTTGCTGAAGAGTTTATATGCCTGCCTAGGACTACACTGCAGGTCACCGGAAGCCATTTAAGGGGCTTATGTCAAGGAGTGACAGTGATTGACTGTGCTTTGGAAAAGTCACAGTGGCTGTGGTGTGAGTTGGAGGCTGGAGTGAGCAGACACTGGAGGCAAGAAGGACAACCAGGCAAGGGCCAGTGACAGCAGAGAAGCACACTGGCCCTTGCTCACCAATGGCATCCATTCTGATTGGTCAGTACCTTTGTCAAATGCTTTAAAATTGTCCCTGCTTTTAGGGACTATTGCTTAGTCCAGACAAGAACATTTCACTCCTGAACTAAGGCTCATCCACAGAGATGGCAAGCACAGGAAGGACTTGAGAGACAGCTGTAAGGAATGACCAGTGTGCTATGGGAATGACGAGTGGGTGACTAAATAAGGCCACGTTTGCTAGACTGGATTTTGTGAGACCACAAACTGAAGTCTGGAGTACAGAGGAGACCAGGCTGGAGGGCACGAAAAGGGGTGGTTTTGAGTGGGAGTAAACACATAGTAAAGTATTCACAGGGATCATTTTTAAAAATAGAAGACTTGTGTTCTAAAGCACACTTCATTTTCAACTAAATAAGCAATTTGTGTGTGTTAAATATGACAAAAACATCACTTCAAATAACAGTACCAAAAATCAAACTATGAGCATTTGTTGCTTTCCAGATTTTGTTTAAAATTCTGTAATAGCATTAC